GTATTGAAAAATTTGCCGACTCAATAATTGAACGCAAACTACGCGATCTAGGAGTATCACTAAGAAGATTCGTATTAAAGTCACCCATCAAAATATGATGTTGATAATCAGAGCAAATTGAAAGAAGTGCCTCTTCAAATTCACATAAATAACTAGAATTCGGTGGACAATAAATTGCACCAAGCACAATTTTATTTCCACTAACAACAATCTCTAAAAAATATATTCAACTGATCCAGTATATTGTGAAGGTGAGGCTGCTAAAATTTTGTAAGGTATACCACTTCGCAGGTATACTGCCACACCACCTCCTCTTTTATTAATGCGATCGTTACGAAGTAAAACAAAACCTGGTATTCCGTAAGAAGTAGAAGGCAGAGTTGGATTTAACCAGGTTTCTGAGATAAGTATCGCGTGGATGCTCTGAATGTTAAAAGTTTCTAAAAGTTCAGTATAATGCTGCGGAATACTCTGGGCGTTGATATGACAAACGTTGAAATTTTTATTATAATCATTGAGTTTTTGGGTTAGAAGAGAACGAACTGTAGGTAATTCCAAGTCAGAATCAGAAAATGAATAAAAGGAATCAGAATTAGCAGAGGTGAATGAATCGTTATCGGAAACTCCCATGGCGCTAAAAATCAGTGTATAATATTACATAAAAATTAATTAAGGTATAAATAACTAATTTAAATAAATATATAACTTATTTGGCTATAAATAAATATATAACTTATTTGGCTATAAATAGATATATAACTTATTTAAGTAAATAAAAATAAATATCTTTAATATATTATGTTTATGCTGTATTGTTGTTTTAATTACTGCTACCAAACCTGCTGGTAAACTGTTTACAAAACGAGATTTTTAAAAAAAAAAGAAAAAGAAAAATTCAAAAATAAAATAAATGAGATAGATAATAAATCACTTTCGTAATAAAACTATCAGAGAGCATTAAAAATAAAATGCATCAATAGTTGTTCTTATGCACCTGAGTTATAAGACAAAAAAAAATATATGACATTGAAACACCACTAATAAAATATTCCATAATGTTAGTTCGTAACCCTAGATATACATACATAATATGGTTGACAATTACTGTTTATCAACTCAGCGGCTAGCGAATGAGAACAATGGGGATTGCATTCACTGTACAGAAAAAAAGGGACCTACGCTAACGCTATTAGGTTGAACAACCAGTAACCGCACGACGTCCATGTATAATCATCACACAAATTATCATAACAATTATGTAATATTAATGTTTTTTACCCGTACGCCTAGTTCGTGGTACTTCGCCGCGCGTGTTTCCAGGCTCCCTCGAAGCCCTTGTTTCTTCCAATACCGGTTGAGATTCCTCGTCACACCCTGGCTTGCTATGTTGACGTATCAGCCGGTTGAGGTCTTCATTGGATTGAATACTCTGGCGGGAACCATCGGGCAACCTGACGCTGATGAAGCCATTTGATGACCAGACCTTTTTCATCCCAAATTGTCTTCGAGCTTGCATGAACAAATTCTGCTTGTATTTTGTGAGAAACTCGGATAATGTAAACGGTGTTCCCTTCAACATAGTCTTTTTGTACCAGGCGGTAGAACGCATCGAGAAATCGGTAAAACGGAAAAGTATCAGTCGGTTGTGATCCGCCTTAACCATACCGAGTCTATGAGCCATCCGGATAGAAGATATTATTATGATGATTGTTCAAATGTTCGTCTTCTAAAAACGAAATCGTCTAATTGTAGTTTGTACTTATATTAATTCTATTCGTATGAATATCATAGTACTTATTCTAAATCGCAAATAAAATGATATGAAAATAAGTGGATGATAGGTAAATACTTAAAAATAATGATCATTTACTAACCTGCGTTACTGTCCGTAATTTCACTTTTAGCTAAAACTAACGCGATTATCTTACTACGGCGACTCATTTCAAGTACTCAGAATAACTATATTACTATTTTCTCATATTTAAACAATCCAATATTGTATGCAAGTTCCGGCAAAACTCGTCGTAACTTGTACACAACAACGCGTGCGAGGGGCGTCTGAGGAAGCGATCGAGAATCTATGCATCGTAAGTTTAATAACCTATTGTGGAATAAACACAACCCGAAAATTATTGCAGAGAAAATAATTGTAACTTGAAAGAAGTTGTATATGTAGTCTTTGGAGTGATATTTTTATTTTCTATTTAAAGATTAAAACATTGTACCTAAGGTTACGATGAAAGCTTTTTTAATACAAAAAAAAAATTGCCAAGAACAAGAGGGTGTCTTATATTACAATTTTTGTTATGTAATAAATTAATGTCAGGCATAGGTAAGTATGTGTAACTAAATATACCTTTTTATCATCTTCAGTGGACACTGACTTACAACATTTTTCTACTGTCTAAAATCGTAACGCTTATGAATTTAGATACAGGGGTGAGCGTAAATAAAAGAGAATTTTTTATTTACTAACAATATGATTGTAACTCAAAATCGCTAAAAAGTGAGTTACGATGTTTTTCCTTGCAGGTGTCGTATGACTCTTCCGTTTAAAATTCCAGTCCACATGTTTATTTTAAAACGATATTGAGATCTATCTTGTCTCATTAAATTAGGATTCTCTACGTGCCACTCGTGTAAATTATGTAGGTTCATGTAACTGTTTTTTTAAATGTCGATTCATCCATCCACAAATTTTTTTCTAAGAATTGTAGAATTGTAGTCTTTGTAGCATCGTTTGGCAAAACGCAACCCGACGTTGATAATCTTGAGGTAGCAGGGTTTGTACTCTCTGTATATGGTACGGATGTAACTCATTTTTTTGTAAAATTTGGTGAGCAGTACTTTTGGGCACTCCTGTGCTTTCCTGAATTGCTCGTACCGAAGTACTTGGGTATTCTTCAACTGCTTGTAGTACTATGTCCTCGTAAGGTAACGAACTTCTTCCTTCACCATGTACTTGGTTTAGAAGTCTGCCCTCAATAAAGAGTAGACGGTGCACATTTGTAAAAACTCGATGATCTGGATAGCGATCAGCATTTTGGTATCTCTCGCGATACAGTCTATCCGCAGCACTAGCATTGCCTCTGTATTCCCCATAAATGTAGTGCATGTTTGCATATTCCTGTATGGTGTACACAGACATGTTGGCACTACACAATCACACTATAGTCCAGGAGAAAGCCTAGTTGTCGTTAAAAGATCGAAACTGTCCAAATCCAAATCACAAGCAAACAAGTTCAATAAGCGAAGCAAAATGTCGGTAAGTACGAAATAACACGAACAAATACGGAAAGATGCGTAGTAAACGAAGGAGCGTAACGTACTGATCTAAATTGCGTGTGCCAACACTCAAAAAGTGGCGTCACTAACTGTCTCGCTCGTACCTCATAAAATTACTTTTTTGGTATTTGACATATTAGCGTCACTATCTATCTCACTCACCCATTAGCATCTGATCTGGTAAGTGGTTACTGTGACCCATAGACATCTACATCTATCCTCAATAAAGACTCAAAATGCAGATGCGTTGTCACCCGTGAGGACTAAGATGGAATGCCTTTTTTCCAGTAAAAAGGGTCTCCGGTTCTCAACACTCACCATACGAAACCCAGCAGTGTCAAGCTGCTATTTTACGCTGGTATCCTGTGAGAGCGTGGTCCTTCCCCGGTCGAGCCGACCCATTCGTGCTACAACTATACTACTAATATAGCTGCAGAATGGCTCTACCACGTATAAAACCCTTAACACTTCATGAAACGATACTTTCTCTCGCTAAAACCGGAATCTTAGTTACGCTCAAGGCTAGCTTTGGTTACACTAAAATCAGTTTTAGTAGATAAAAATATATTTTTTAAACTGGGATTGTGGAAAAAAAAATTTCCCCTGTAATCTAAGAAATAATGTAGCAAGTGCTATACGATTTTAGAATCCTTATTAAATGTGGCAACTTTTAAGGTTACTTGCTAAACTGGCGTAGTACATTTTTTTCAGTATAGTCAGTGTTCGGGAGTTTACGGGAATTTAAAAATAATGCAACTTGAATGTGGTCTTGGACGATTGTATTGATCTTACAACAGCTGAGAGGGTAATAAAATATTGCAAAGACAAAAACCTGTTTAAAATTAACGTTATGTATGGACGTAATTACTTCAAGTACGTTGTTTAACTCTTTGCTCAGAAAGAAGGCGCAGGCGCTTCAACATGCCCCCGGGCGTTGAAATCTTTAATTGTAACCAGAATTAAATGACACCGGCAATGGGCAAATCCGGTTAAATGCCCTCTTGATAATCCCATTAGAAGTTCTGATGTCTGCAACTCGAACAATGCCATCGGCTCCTGGGTGAATTGCAACGACTCTTCCCAGCTTCCATTTCAGCGGTGGAAGGTTGTCCTCCTTGACTACCGCCAAATTGTTTATCTTTAAGCTATCTTTGCAAGAACGCCATTTCACTCTTTGTTGAAGTTCTGAGACGTACTCCTTGCTCCATCGTTCCCAAAAATGCTGACGCAGTTGCTCAATGCGTTGGAATCTGTTTAATAACGGAGTGGATTGATGCTGGTAGTCCGGTTGCGGCAAAGAAGTCAGCGCACGCCCAATTAAAAAATGTCCCGGAGTGAGGGGCGTAGAATCTGCAGGATCTGAAGATAGTGGAGTGAGTGGCCGGGAGTTCAGGATTGCTTCGATTTGGGTCAACATGGTGTAAAGTTCTTCATACGTTAAGTGACAATTGCCCAACACTCTAAGCAAATGATATTTTGTCGATTTAACTCCCGCCTCCCAGAGACCACTGAAGTGAGGAGTATATGCCGGAATAAAATGAAAGTTTATCATTGGCCATGCTTTCGCTCAAAGAATCGCAATTGCCCTTTAAAAATTTGGATAAGTCATTGTATGCACCAACAAAAGAAGCACCGTTATCGGAATAAATATTAAATGGCTTACCTCTTCGAGCTATAAACCTGCGCAATGCCAGCAAATAGTTATTGCTGGTTACCTAGTCACCTAGTACTAAGTCACCTACCAACTCTAAATGAATCGCCATGGTAGTGAAACAGACAAAAATACATATATACACCTTTAACAGTCGACACCCACGACCTTGACGAGTGGCGCTCATAACAGGGCCCGCATAATCGACTCCTACGGTCTCAAAAGGAAAGCCACCCGAAATGAGACGATGCTGTGGCAAGTTACCCATTAGTGGATTCCAAACCTTACCCTTCATGCGATGACATCGTATACATTTATGATAACAGGCCTTCGCTAGGCTTCGACCACCTATCAGTATCTCTAATGTTTGCCAACAGTAGCTGTGGGTCTGCGTGCATTAGCCTTTTGTGTTCATGGTCAAATAATAATTTTGTAAATATATGATTGGACTGTAATAATATAGGATGCTTTTTATTATATGAAAATTTAGAATTATCAAGACGACCACCAACACGAATAATTTTATTTTCGTCTAAAAATACATTAAATTTAAGAAGTGGGATTTTCTTAGGTAAATTTTGTTTATACAGAAGCAATTTATACTCTGAAAAGGAATCATATTGGCATTTTGAAATTATAATATTTAACGCGTTTCGTAATTCTAATTCCGTTAAGAAATTTGAAGAAATAAGCTGTCTTTTACAAGACATAATGAATCGTAAAACGTAAGCTACGGATCGTACAAGGCGTGAATAATTCGAGAAACGACTAAAATCAATGAAACAATCATTATTTTTTGGATGAGCAGTGACTGCAGTTAATATAATATTATGACGCGTTTCTGGCAATGTTTCAACATTCTTAGGCTGAGAAGGCCATTTTGATATGTCATACATTAAAAATTCTGGACCTGACCACCACAATCTAAAACCTGACAAAGCACTGATATCTATACCACGAGATATTAAGTCTGCTGGGTTTCTATCTGTTCGGACGTATCCCCACTTATGGTCACTAGCTTTATCCAAAATTTCAGCGACACGATTACGCACGAAAGGCTGAAGTTTGCAAGGCAACATTCGCAACCACCCCAAAACAATCGTGGAGTCTGTCCAAAAGTAGAATTGGTCAACTTTAACACGAAGGGAATTTACAAACTTCTCGTAAAGAGGAGCTCCTACTAACGCACCGCACAGATCCAATCGTGGTATTGTTGTGGGTTTGATTGGTGCTACACGGCTCTTAGCCGTTAATAATCGGACCATAACTTGTCCCTTATCGCTGACGCTTCGAACATAAATGCACGCACCGTATGCGCACTCAGAAGCGTCAGTGAAAATATGCAGTTGCAGCACCCGGTATGACTCACAGATAACTAGTCGTGGAATACGAATGTTATTTAAAAAACGAAGAGATTTGATAATGCCATACCAGCGTTTCTTGATTTCGGGAGACAGTGGTTCATCCCATGAAAGTTTGTCTAACCAAAGCCTTTGTATCAATATTTTCATGGTGATGGGCATGGTGCTAAAAGACCCAGCGGGTCAAAGATTTGTGCAATCACTGAAAGCAAATCACGCTTAGTATTGCCATCGGGAACTAGTGAATTCAATGGAAAGCAGAGTTCATCTGAATCCGAATGCCAGCCAAGACCTAACAGCTTGTCTGGCTCGCGAGAACCAATATTTAGGTCAAGTGATGTATTGGCAATTTCTGACAGCAACTCGGGATCGTTCGATCTCCACTTTCGCAATGGCATACGAGCAGATGCCAATACTTCGGCAACCCCTTGACATATGGCCTTTACGTCATCTAAGTCATCAGCACCCGTAAGCAGATCATCGACATAAAAATCATGCATTATGATGTCCGCTATGGCTTTGTTTTTGCACTGTAGACCAAGTTGTTTCAGGCAGCGTGTTGCGAGAAATGGTGCACTCGCCGTACCGTACGTAACAGTATTTAATTGAAAGGTCTGTATAGGCTCACTAGGACTGTTACGCCAGACTATCTGCTGAAGGTGCCTGTCATCAGGATGAACGATTATGCACCTGTACATTTTCTCCACATCTGCAGACAAAATGTATTTATGTTGCCTAAAACGTAACAAAATCGACGTCAAGTCGTCCTGAACTACAGGACCGACCATTTGTATTTCGTTAAACGAAATACCTGGCGTCGTCAGGCAACTTGCATTAAAAACTATTCTAAGTTTAGTCGTAATGCTACTTTGACGGAGTACGCCATGATGGGGTATAAAATACGCACCACTACTTTAATTAGGTCTTTCACAAATTGTTATATGTCCCAGTGACTGATATTCAGACATAAATTCATAATACATCTGCTTGATGTCAGGCTTACCCTTTAATCTACGCTCTAAGGAGAACAAGCAATGTGTAGCTCTTTAAATAAATCTCCTAATAGACCGGTATCTTTTTTGAGAGGTAACCGAACGCAAAAACGCCCATCATCAAGACGAGACTTATTGCTTACAAAATGATCTTCACACAACTTCTCCTCAGGTGAATAATGAGATGACTTGGAACTTATTTCCTCCAGCTGCCAAAACTGCGTTAAGTCGATTCGAATGTCGTCTTTATTATCGCCACAAAGATAAAAATCAGTTTTAGCGAAGTTGCATCGTAAGTCATTAGACATCAATGTAGAATGATGAACATTAATTGGACCAGAAACTATCCATCCTAGCCTGGTTTCATGCAGAATGGGCGTATTACTTCCTAATTTAATTCTTTGTGACCCTAACAAATCCCAAAAGAGATCGGCCCCGATTAAAATATCTACATCGGCAGGCTTATAAAATGCAGGGTCAGCTAAGCAAATATTCGATGGAAGTTGAAGATCGCGTATGCTTAATTCGCGACCTGTGGTATTGCTAGTAATTGATGGCAAAATGAAACAATTAATGTTAGCGAAAATAATGAAATTTATTAATTTCATCGATTTCATCATTAGAGTGAATAAGGCTATCATGAAACTCCAACCAGTTCTCGTATGATCCACTAAATTTTGGCAACTGTATAGTAGGTAACTTAACAAACTTATTATTACTGACTCGAGAACTCTTGTCACTACCTGCCGATTCAGAGTTAGCATTATGGTGATCGCTCAGTAAAATTTGAGCTTTAGCTAGCGCCTTGTAATACGAGTACTGAGTTTCAAAGCATGAACGCTCAGTTAGTTGTAAGTCGGGCTTGTCGACAATACATTCTAAGCGTAACTGCACCTCATCATATTGGTTATACAATGTGTCCAGCTTACCCATGCGCAATTGCAATTCCGTCGCGTCACGATTTTGTAAAGGTGTGGTAAGCGAATCCACGTAACTAATGAAAGCAGTTAAACGGCCTTTAAAACTACCTAGTTTTTTGATCAACTCCTTTTCTTCGGTCATTCTGGAAGACGAGAGTATTCGACCTGGAATGTATACAATTACAAATATTCAATAACAATCTCCGACTATCTAATGCACTAACTAAATACTATGTCCTGAAAAACTACCCAACTATATTATACAGTATGTAGGTACTAAATCAGCAAATAATAATTTAATAATATTATAGTGACAAGTAACTTTACACAATATTTCTCGACATTCAAACAATAGTAGATAATTTTATTATTTAAGCTACTTACAATAACTAATTCAATTATTGTATACCCACTAAATCAAAAAATTAACAATCGTCCTATGCTACAATTACGCTATAACCATAGTATAATTTTATTACTATAAAACACTCTAAACAAGAAAATAAATAATAATTAAAGCCTAATAACATTTACTTGGTGTAGGTAGTAATAATTAATGCTACTATACGATTTCTACTGCACAACTATATTAAATAATGTAAATAAGCAAAAAATTATGTAGATTAATTTCTAACAGTATCCTTACAATACAATTTCTTACTTAATTACTGCAAATTATCAAAAAATTTGCGAATGTTAACACAACGCAGTAGGTAATTAATAATCGATAGGAACAATAAATTCACTACCCTTATAAGTCCGGTGATTTACACCAAACACTATTAGATTACCTTAATAGAGTGTTGGGTGATGATAAATCTTAAATTGTATCTTAAACACCACGTAATTACTGCAAATTAACCCACATTCTTGATGGCGGCGACGTAACTCCAAATTTGATTCCAACGTAAAGTCCACCAAATTAACCATATACAAGTATAATATAAATTCTGGTACTTATTATTTTATATCCGGCGACGATCCAGGGCCATGTTCGGGAGTTTACGGTTTAAAAATAATGCAACTTGAATGTGGTCTTGGACGACTGTATTGATCTTACAACAGTTGAGAGGGTAATAAAATATTTCAAAGACAAGAACCTGTTTAAAATTAACGTTATGTAGGGACGTAATTACTTCAAGTACGTTGTTTAACTCTTTGCTCAGAAAGAAGGCGCAGGCGCTTCAACAGTCAATTAAAGTTGGGCGAAGTATTAATTTTTCATTCTTGGTTCGGATAAATGTGACATTTTCTTCTAAGTTGGAGCAGGTAGCTAAGAATTAAAAACAACAGGTTACACAAGCACTACCCAAGACTACACAAAAAAAATTCGAAAAAAAGTAAAGATTTGTGACTAAAGGAGCTAAAAAACCATCACAGGTTGTACATTTTACAAGAAAAAGGCCGTATGACGTAGAAGAAAAGAGATATATTATTGTAATGACTTAAATTAAGAATACCCTTTATTGATATTCGGATGTAAAAGAAGCAAGAAAGGTGTGTGAGGATCACATTAATTGGAAGTTCGTAGTCTTTGCCTACCCATATAGGTAACAGACATGATATGATATGGCAAAAAACAATTAATTTGTGATTCTGTATAAGAGCAATAATGTTACTAAATAAATATTACATTTTATTACAAATACCCTGTTTTTTTTATATATATCCTCCTCAACTAACTGACAGATTAAAAGAAATATTGAAATTAATAATCCTTATTTTTCGACGTATGAATTCGTTTCAAACTTAATCACATTTTTAATCAACTACCGTCTCAAACAAAGAAGTTCCTCTGTACATAGAATAAACTACGAAAAACTTTGTTTTTCGTTGTTTATTCTCTAAACTGTTTAAATAAAACAAAACCATTTTGCAACCATGTGTTGGTGTGAGTACTGTGAACGTGCCTGCTTTAGTTTCCAGACTTAGAAGTATATCGATCTCAAGAAAGTTCAGTTGTCACCTTCAGATAACTTGGGTTGTATTCAAAAC